CCTGTAGCCCCAGCTGCCCTGGAACTCACTATGTAGACCAGGCTGGCCTTGAACTCACAGAGATCCGCCTGCCTCTGCATCCTGAGTGCTGGGATTAAAGGCCTGTGCCACCATGCCCGGCTTATTTTAGGTATATGAGTGTTTTGCCTGTGTGTAAATGTACCTGTGTCATGCAATGCCCACAGAGGTCAGAAGAGGGCATTGGATCCTCTGGAAGTGGAGTTAGGATGGTGGTCGGCCACTATGTGGGTGGTGGAATTCGAACCCGGTTCTCTGCAAGAGCAACCAGGGCTCTTAACTGCTGGGCCAACTTTACAGCCCCTAAGATGGGTCTACTCTTTAGAAGAGGTCAATGAGGTCTGAATTCAGAACTTTCTTTTAACCACATTGGCACATTGCTTCGGCTGGGGGGTGGCAAATGTCCCATTTTCGAGGTTAGACTGAACTCTGATTTGTGCTAAATTTGGGACAGGCAGTAACCTACAAATAGACATGGTTCTGTTTGGGTTTGACCTCAAACCTAATGGTGTATGTAATTACATGATTGCTACTATTAGTGCATGGCACTGTTTACTGGGATGCCAAAGTTTGTGTTTCAAGAAGAAAGCTGGACTGGCAACCACAGCTGAACACACTAATATTAGCTGGTAATTAGTAGAACTCTCACTTAACTAAACGGGCCATTTGTCTTTGCAACCAGTATGAAAACGGAAGTAGAGTCATCTGTCATTCCGATCTGCGGTCTTTAAAATATTAACTTAAATCAAACTTACTTTTAGCTAATGCATAAAAATAAAAAAAAATCTTGTATGCATTTATGGAGTACCATGTCCAGTGGTTTAATAGATGCCATATTTAAGTTAGGCTACAGATATGCATCTCTTCAAACATTGATTATGTCAAAAACATTCAAAATCTTAACGCCTTTTGAGATGTATGATAGGTAAATATTACTTATAATCATGCTACAGAGGAGCATTGAGGCACCAGGGCAAAGTGGGGCGCCAGGGCATCAAGATCCTTTATAAAAGTGTGTCTTAGTATCCACTGATCCATCGGTCTATATTTCTTTTCCCATCCATTTCTCTCCAGCCTGTAGTAACCAGCCATCTTCTACTCTCCACTTCACTGAGATCAACCTTTCCATATTCACCACAGGCGTGAGATCCTGCAGTTCTTGTTTTTCTGTGCTTGGTTTATTCTAGTTAACACATTAGCCCAATCTGATTCTTTTGTCCTTAGTCTGGGTGGTGGATGAATCTCCCTGTCTAAGTGTGTTAGCATGGCATTAATCCGTTCCTCCTTACAGATATCGTGTCTGATTGGTCTCCTCTGCATGATGCTGCGATCCATGGACATCTGCTCACTCTGAGGAACCTTATCAGCCAGGTACCTCTTTTTTTTTTTTCTTTTTTAAATTATTTATTTAATAAACATAATTAGAAGAAACATTTCATTACAACAGCATTGACACATTCCATAACAATTTCCAGAGATAAGATACATCTCTTTCAAAATTGGCTGTAAAATGTAAAATCAAAGATCAGGGCCAAAGAAATGGAAAAAACACAAAACAGGCAACACAAAGACTCAATGACACAGAGTTGTTTCTTCGAGCAGATAAGTAAAATTGACAAATTTTCAGTCAAATGAACCAAAAGAAAGAAAGAAAGCTCAAGTTAACAAAGTCGGAAGTGAAAGGGAAACATTGAGACAGAAAGTGAAAAAATTCAATCATGACTCACAGTCAATTACTTTTTTTAAAAAATTTATTTAATAACCACATGATTAGAAGCATTTCATTACAGCATTAACAACATATTCAATAACAATTTCCAGAGCAAAGATACATCTTTCAAAAGTGGTTATAAATTTTTGGTTTGCTGTTGAATTAATACAATTATACAGTATTTTTTAAATAAAAT